ATAATTAGCACAAACACCACCTTTCTCTGTCGTTGATAATTAGCACAAACACCACCTTTCTCTGTCGTTGATAATTAGCACAAACACCACCTTTCTCTGTCGTTGATAATTAGCACAAACACCACACTTTCTCTCTCGTTGATAATTAGCACAAACACCACCTTTCTCTCTTGTTGATGATTAGCACAAACACCACCTTTCTCTCTTATTGATAATTAGCACAAACACCATCTTTCTCTCTTGTTGATAATTAGTACAAACAACGTCTTTCTCTCTTTATATTCCCATTTTCAGTGAAACTTACACTGTTATCCCTAAATCTTCTAGCTACTGACGTAAATATATCGTGTGATGTAGATATATTGTGTGAAGTAAATATATCGTGTGACGTAGATATATTATGTGAAGTAAATATATCATGCTCATTTTCATCAGACCGACTTGGACGAGATGCTGAACGAGGCTAAGCAGTCTGAAGAGAAGGCCAAGAAGGCCATGGTGGACGCTGCTCGACTTGCGGACGAACTGAGAGCCGAACAAGAACACGGACAGCAACAAGAGAAGATGCGAAAAGCGATGGAAGCTCAGATGAAGGACCTCCAGATCCGGCTGGACGAGGCCGAGGCTGCGGCTCTGAAGGGCGGGAAGAAGATCATACAGAAGTTGGAACAGAAGGTCCTAATTTATAAACATTTACTTCAAGATCATGTAGTATTGATTTTAACAGAAGTTTTGTAATTATCGAAAATATGATGTCTTAAATACAATTTTTTACTTTATCATCTTGATGACTTCACGTTAAAATTATTAAAGATATTTCTTTTTATTCTTTGATCAAATTACCTTTACAATAAATCTTTATAGGTGCGGGAACTTGAAAATGAACTAGAAGGTGAACAGCGCCGCCACGCGGACGCTGCCAAGAATTCCAGAAAGGCAGAGCGTAGAAACAAGGAACTTCAGTTCCAGGCTGAAGAAGACCGTAAAAACCACGAACGTATGCAAGACTTGGTGGATAAACTACACCAAAAGATCAAGACTTACAAGAGACAGATCGAGGAAGCTGTAAGTGTTTTACATATAAGTACATTATCAGTAACATGTTAGCATGTAAACTACGGTAAAGTACATCATCAGTAACATGTTAGCATGTAAACTACGGTAAAGTACATCATCAGTAACATGTTAGCATGTAAACTACAGTAAAGTACATTATCAGTAACATGTTAGCATGTAAACTACAGTAAAGTACATCATCAGTAACATGTTAGCATGTAAACTACAGTAAAGTACATTATCAGTAACATGTTACCATGTAAATTACTGTAAAGTACATTATTAGTAACTTGTTAGCATGTAAACTACGGTAGAGTACACTATCAGTAACATGTTAACATGTAAACTACAGTAAAGTACATCATCAGTAACATGTTAGCATGTAAACTACAGTAAAGTACATTATCAGTAACATGTTAGCATGTAAACTACAGTAAAGTACATTATTAGTAACTTGTTATCATGTAAACTACGGTAAAGTACATCATCAGTAACATGTTAGCATGTAAACTATGGTAAAGTACATTATCAGTAACATGTTAGCATGTAAACTACGGTAGAGTACACTATCAGTAACTTGTTATCATGTAAACTATAGTAAAGTACATCATCAGTAACATGTTAGCATGTAAACTACAGTAAAGCACGTAAAGCAGACTGACTGAAATAATTATGGTATATTGCTCCTGGATATTGTAATTTAACTTGAAAAGTCTGTCTTCAAACACTATTAATGACAAGTTTGTCCTGAAATAGCCTACTACATCTATAAAGGATAACATGCAGTAAAACCATTAATCATGTGTACTATTTTATTCGACAGGAAGAGATTGCTGCTTTGAACTTGGCCAAATTCCGTAAAGTACAGCAAGAACTGGAGGACGCTGAGGAGAGAGCAGACATGTCAGAAAACGCTCTAGCCAAACTCCGAGCAAGGAACCGTAGCTCAGCCTCAGCTGGCCGGGGAACTAGTCCAGGAGTAAGTTAACCAGATCCTGTACTAAGTAAACATGTGTAGAACACGACATATAGCTCAGCTGGTTTAGGAACTAGTCCAGGAGTAAGTTAACCAGATATCCGTCATACTGATAGGTACTTGTGACAGGGGTCTCTCACGTCCGTCATACTGATAGGTACTTGTGACAGGGGTCTCTCACGTCCATCATACTGATAGGTACTTGTGACAGGGGTCTCTCACGTCCGTCATACTGATAGGTACTTGTGACAGAGGTCCCTCACGTCCGTCATACTGATAGGTACTTGTGACAGGGGTCTCTCACGTCCGTCATACTGATATGTACTTGTGACAGAGGTCCCTCACGTCCGTCATACTGATAGGTACTTGTGACAGAGGTCCCTCACGTCCGTCATACTGATAGGTACTTGTGACAGAGGTCCCTCACGTCCGTCATACTGATAGGTACTTGTGACAGAGGTCCCTCACGTCCGTCATATTGATATGTACTTGCGACAGGGGTCCCTCACGTCCGTCATACTGATAGGTACTTGTGACAAGGGTCTCTCACGTCCGTCATACTGATAGGTACTAGGGTCTATTTAGGGTGAAATATAAACTTCTTACATGTATGTTTATAAAAAATGTTGACTTACAGTATTCAGAACAGACGACCATTTATTCTTCATCAACACCGACTTTAGTCCTAGGACGGCTTGGTCTCATGACAGGCTGGTGAGAAAAACAAAAATGTGTTGAAACAAAACGACGAATAACACATGATATTTATGGAAATCTTCTACACATGTTTACTTGGTAAGGATCTGGTTAACTTACTCCTGGACTAGTTCCTACACCAGCTGAGCTATATGTCGTGTTCTACACATGTTTAGTTAGTACAGGATCTGGTTAACTTACACCTGGACTAGTTCCTACATGGTGAGAGACCCCTGTCACAAGTACATATTAATATGATGGACAAGTGAGAGACCCCTGTCACAAGTACATATTAATATGATGGACAACGTCCTTCAACTGAACTTGAAGTAATTTATATTGTTAGAGTCCCGGCTAAGACTAGAAACATCCATACTCTGTTATTTTAATAATTTAATGTTTGACAATGAAATGATGATTCCTTTCTGGCTGAACATTTCCGGGTTTCTCACGTTTAACTAAAACTTGAAAAGTTTATGAGAAAGACGACACCTGGTAGTCATGAGAAACATTTATTTGAAAGGCACATTTCATACACATAGGTTTTTGTATAGGAACATATATGACGTGAAGCTGGATAGATACACTCGTGTGTGTACCCCCAATATTCTTAATTAACGGAACAAATTAATAGCCCCGGTCAAATATTCGGATTCACTAAGTTTTCTACTTTTGCACACAACTACAAATGAAATGTTTACAAATCGCCCTTTGACCAATAACCTTTAGACCAGTCATAGAAGCAGCTGTCATCTACGTAGGCGCAAATTTTCAGAGGCAAGCGAAAAACCTGTAAAAGAAACACATTTCTAAATAATCAAGAAATAAAAATAAACTCAGATTAAAACATGTTTCCGGAAATCATCATTAAGATGTTACTTGTTATCTCTAGATGTATCTGTTTTATCTTACCACCTTCATTTCAGGATTCTGAGCCCTAAAAAAACCTAAACAACTGTTCCCGTAGTTCATATAAACAGTTTTAAAAACTGTTTTACATGTCATTTGGTTGTTGTTATTATTTGTATCATTAAATTATACCTTTTTAAACCCAAGGTATCGTTTCCAGCTAAGAGTCGAAATTAGATAAATAAACAACACAACCTGCGGCTCAAAAAGATAAAAACCATCTGTAACGTTACATGTCTAGATTTTGTTAATATTCACTGGATAGAATACTGAGTATTTACACGTGGAACAGGGTCTCTCACGTTTCAGACCAGTATAAAAAAAAACACAACAAGTTTAGCTGAAGGACCTTATACTGGTCTGAAACAAAAAAACACAACAAGTTCAGCTGAAGGACGTTAAACCAAATATAGAATAATGTTAATGGAAGTAAACGGAGCAGTATCAAGAAAAATCAATCCTGTGGTCATAAAAATCGTTCATTAATTACAGCGGATTAAACTTTAACTAGGAAATAATCCTTTAACAACAACGGATTAAACTTTTACCAGGAAATAATCCTTTAACAACAACGGATTAAACTTTAACTAGGAAATAATCCTTTAACAACAACGGATTAAACTTTAACTAGGAAATAATCCTTTAACAACAACGGATTAAACTTTAACTAGGAAATAATCCTTTAACAACAACGGATTAAACTTTTACCAGGAAATAATCCTTTAACAACAACGGATTCAACTTTTACCAGGAAATAATCCTTTAACAACAACGGATTAAACTTTAACTAGGAAATAATCCTTTAACAACAACGGATTAAACTTTAACTAGGAAATAATCCTTTAACAACAACGGATTAAACTTTAACTAGGAAATAATCCTTTAAAAACAACGGATTAAACTTTAACTAGGAAATAATCCTTTAACAACAACGGATTAAACTTTAACCAGGAAATAATCCTATAACAACAACGGATTAAACTTTTACTAGGAAATAATCCTTTAACAACAACAGATTAAAATTTTACCAGGAAATAATCCTTTAACAACAACGGATTAAACTTTAACTAGGAAATAATCCTTTAACAACAACAGATTAAACTTTAACTGGGAAATAATCTTTTAAAAACAACGGATTAAACTTCAAGTAGGAAATAATCCTTTAACAACAACGGATTAAACTTTTACCAGTAAATAATCCTATAACAACAACGGATTAAACTTTAACTAGGAAATAATCCTTTAACAACAACGGATTGAA